GAGTACATCAATCATTTGCCTTTTGACAATCCTCGATTACTTTGCATTATTCAGATACTATATGTAGTTTCTGGTTGATCAACTGTATATTTATGTTTTACTTTACCACAGTTCAGAGGACAATTATTTTAATCATTGCATTGTTCATTTGGATAATTGCCCTCCGCATTAGGAGGACATGTTAATACCCTTACGCAGTCTTAATTATAATACTTTCTGAATATTTTTCCTAAAACTCTTCTTAAAAAATATTCTCTTAACTTCTCTGTAGCCTACAATATCCCGTAACGTGAACATCATAAGCACTTTTTAATATAATACTTGGTAGAATAATAGTAGATCAATCTGTTCTATACATTATGATTATAAGATTATTATAAGATACCTCGTAAAAGAAGAAGAGATTAGAAGTTATTTAAAAAGTATTAATATAATTTTAGAATTTTTTCTGTTCCTTTATATTAAGTTCCTTGATAATAAAAAATTCAGATATTTTTATGGTAACAGTTCTTTATTCTCTCTTCACATATATTTTTCATTTTACTTCAAGCAAAAGAAATAGCAAGATATGACTTTTTTTACTAAAAATTGCCTTTTTTTGACTTTTCTTCGTTCATTTTCAGAGCAAACTATTGCAAGGAATAATTTTTAAAAAGCTTAATTAATTAATGCAAACTAAAAAAGTAACAATAAATTTTGTTTGCTCATTAAAATTTTATTAGAGTTTTTGGTTTGCAATTTGGTATCACTTAATATTATTAATTACGGCCCCTGCGTCCACCTCTGTTTCCTCCGCGTCCTCCTCTATTTCCTCTGCCTCCTCTGCGTCCACCTCTGCTTCCACCGCGTCCTCCTCTACCACCGCGACCACCACGGCCACCTCTTCCGCCACGCCCACCACGACCGCCGCGTCCTCCTCTACCGCCTCTGCCGCCTCTATCACCGCGACCACCTCTATGTCCGTGTCTGTGACCTCTGTGTCCATGTTGATGACAATCTGTTTTAGAAGGTTTAGTCGTTACATCCGATGATATGGTTGTGGATGCGCCTGGAGCAACAGTAGTGGCTGCAGTCGTGGTAGCAGATACAGTGGTTGTCGTCGCTGCTGCTGTTGTGGTTGTGGCAGAATCAGTTGTCGAAACTGCTACTGTTGTTGTGGCTGACGGATCAGTGGTTGTAGCGCCAGCAACAGTCGTTGTCTGTGCATTGGTTAATGTAGCCAACAAGGCCAAAAGTACCAAAATGCTTAAACTGAATTTCATGGTGCCGTTGATACAGTTACTATGCCAGTTAGTTGGGTAAGTTCTAATGTCTCTTCATCAAACTCTTCATCAGTTATTTATATGAAAATTCTTCGACATTCAATGTTTGGTCTTCAAATATTTGCTGTTTTTGTATATAATAGATATAAATAATATATTTATTTGATTTTAATATTTGTATCTAATATCTTTTATTTGATTCTTATATGCATTGTTTAGTTAAGTGTTTGCAAACTCTAAAAATACCAAAAAATCTGTTGTCGTTTATTTATTTAACATTTTGTTGAAGTGAGTTTCGTCAATCATATCTTAAATCCACGCTAAATAACTACAAACCTGCTTCAACATTCCACCGAAAAAAATCCAAAACGCTTAGAATGGTAGATATATACAAAGATCTGACGTCGTTTAAAATATGGAAAGATGAATGCATTGAATCATGGCTGCTCTTCTAGTACCAAATTTATCTTCTGAGCCTGCAAGGTGGTGGCTTTTATCATTTAATCGGCCAATGCTTGAAGATGTGTTGCTCTACCGTCTATTAGCATAAGCGCTATGAAAATCTTATATTGTCCTGTAGCCTTCGTATTAATCATTTTTTGCCTGGTATTATGTTCTCAGGTGCTCAGGTGACTCAGATCCTTAACTATAGTATCTGCAGTTTTGATGCAATACTTATGCTAATCAGCTGTTCATTAAGTCTACTTAACATGCTAAATCTGTTCTGTGATTACTGTTCTTAGCTATTATGGTTACCTAATAATAATTCAGATTATGACAACCCTGTACGACTCGACATAAATTTCTGCCTCTTTTATATGTCCTAATTCTTCAGCATTTCTTCCTAATAGATTTGTGTTATGTCGCTGTAGGACTAAGGCCCAATCATTGCCATGGGGGCTCCAATTCTGTCGATTTCATTGACTGTATCTGACTGTGCTGGATCTGTATGTTCTAAAACCCAGTGAAAGCTAATTTTGTTGTCTTTGCCTAGTTGATTTAATTTCTGAAGACAACTCCAAGCTAACTTGGAGTCAACCACATACAAGCTGAACGGTCGAATGGCAATTTAATTGCTTGATGATATGGCTGTGTCCCGCTTGTTATCATCGTTGCAAGATTAAACTAAGTACATTTATTGATGGCGCCTATTTCTGCTTGGAATATGTTTACATATATTCCATTGTGTTCTGCTTATTTGATTTTTGATCCAAAAACTTTTGCCACCGTATTACCTTCGGTTTTTACCTGTTTTCCTTTTTTTACCTTTCTTTGAAAAATGAAAGTCAAAGCTCTCATTTGATGTCCTTTTAAGCAGTTAATCTGTAGTTCGAGTAATTGTCTAAATAGTTGAGTAGTTTGAGCTTGTAGCTGCAGTAGTTGTATCCTGTCAAAATGCCAATATTATGGACATTACACAAAACGGCTGCTGATACTGCATTTCTCCATTTAATCCTTAGAGTCGATTGTTTGGAACAATATGTTGATGAATTTAAAATTAACTGGCCATTGTTCATCTTGTTTAGGACTTTTATGTAGCTAAAGTAAATTAATTCATTTGTTGACACAAATCAATATTGAAGTTATGTATACAAGATATAATATTTTCTTAATGTACGAGTATCAAAATTTGACACAGGTTGGCAGTATACATATTTACTTAAGTGTTTTGCTTTCTATGTGAACTTAAGTGTGAACGACGCAGATGAAATTGTGTGTATTTAGCGAAAAACGTCAATATTGAGTCATTTGTAAATTACTTTATTCGACTAAATTCAATTGTTTTATTTCTATTTGTAAGGTGGATGATATGTCACGCCTCCAACGAAGAAAAGTGTGCAAGAAGTACTTGCGTCATAACTTCGTAACTTTCCAGACCAAAAAATATTAGATTTGAAAATTAAGATCTCATAACTGCTAAGTTGTATATGGAATCATTTATTTTGATGTTATTGATGATTTTAAAAATGTTTTAAGATCTTAGAAATTACAAGTAGTACAGAATTAAAACCAATGTCTATAATATATTCTATGGATGATTTAACATATTATTTGTGTAATTGTTTCTTCCAATAAATTTTAAATATGAGTACCTTAAATTAATAATTTTTTGTTTAATAATAATTATCCTCTCACAATAAAATAAGACGATATTACTAGGAAGTATATGTAACTGAAAATAATTACTTTCGTTTCTACTGCATGGACTTATATATACTCAAGAAAATCTTTCTAAAATCTTCTTCTTCTTTATCTTATATTTCTCTCTATATCTGTTTACTTCTCCACATATTTACTTGGGTATGTTGTTTGCAAGGATGAAGTATGCTGAATATATATCCGAAAACGACAGATTATGAAAGAACAAGAGTGCGGCTATAGCGACGTGCCTGCGTTTGAACTCCTTTGCGAGCTCCGATTGTTTCATGTGTAAATTTGTTGCAATTATTTTTGTAGTGTGGATAGGATCTCTTATTATTGGTGACTATACTAAGTATTTTGCTTTAGGTATATTATTATTAATATTATTATTATAATTATTATGTTGAGATAATTTACACAGTGATCTAAAGATTTAATGTGCCCCATTCATGAGATTAAAGTATTTCTTCAAATTCAAGTTCCACTATAAATTGTAGTATATATATAATATATAGTAATATATATTATATTGCATAATATATAATAGTAGTATGCATAATAGAGTTTTATTTTTGTATTTGATATGAGATGGCGTACCCGGTACTTCTTTCATTTATGTATCAGTCTTGCGCAAAATCCAGCACGTGTTTTGAAGTTACATTCTTTCCCTATAAAATCTACAAATTTCATTGGAATAAGTTTCTAATATTATAATATGTCAGTACTCCTGTAACGATTCTTAAATTGCTTTAACTTAATTGCATACAATCCTTAAACCACTTTAGGTTAAAAATTACTGTACTCGATCTTTTATATGAAAGCCTTGGAAGTTATTACAGTATGTCTTTTGAATGATTTTAGGTCTACAAGCAAGAAGATTTTTTCTTTTTGTACAAGTTTGTCAGCAACTTCGTTTGGGAAATTCCAGCATCACCTGGATCTTATAGCATCAATATCTAGTTTCTTTTGCCAAGGATACTGAGCTTTTTGAGACCCCCATTCGCCAATCTTATTGCCACCTGATGCAAATTGAGTGCTTTTATAAGTGCCTGATTATCAGTAGGAATAGCTATTCTATCGTATTGGTAGTTACGTTTCTGGTTAAAGTTATATTATATATTAAAGTTATTTTCAACAAATTTCTTTCTATTAGAAAGAAATTTAATTTTTCAAAATTTTGCATTTGGAAATATGTTACTAAAGAAAAAAATTTTTTAAATTAATCTCGCTCAAGGTTCTCGGTTCAAGCTATATTTAGTTCATTTAAAATGAGCCAAATTGTGAGATTTTCCATAACATGGATTTATGTAACTAGAGAGACTAATATGTCTATAGTGAATTGTGACCAGAAAGCGTTACCTAATTTAACCTGTGTTACGTTTACTATGAGTAATATTCATCAGATTTATTAAATAAGTGACTTAATTTAAATGAGTCAGCGAGATGATAATATTTCTGGATTTTGCTAAAGAAGTTGACTCTTATAAAGTTTTTGGACTGCTTACTTTAATAAAATAGTACATTTATATTTATGGTTGCAAATTATTTATTTGGAGAATTTAAGTACGAAATGAGTTAAGCCATAGTAAATTAGATTTAACGTCCGCGGCTTTTGCCTCCACGTTTTCCGCCTCTGCCACCACCGCCTCCTCTACCACCACGGCCCCCTTTTCCTCCTCTACCACCACGACCTCCTCTACCACCTTCTCCTCCTCTACCACCTTCTCCTCCTCTACCACCACGTCCTCCTCTACCTCCACGTCCTCCTCTACCACCATGTCTATGTCCTCCATGGTGTCCATGGTGTCTATGTGGACGATCCGGCTTGCATGGTGCCCTTGTGCTTGCTGATGGAGCTTCAGTGGCTGGTACAGCTGTAGTAGGAGTTTCGGTAACAGGTGCAGCAGTAGTATCTGGCGCTGCAGTAGTTTCAGTAGGCGTTTCAGTAGTTGGTGCTTCAGTAGTGGTTGGTGCCTCAGTGCTAGGAGCTGGGGAAGATGTTCCTTCGGCTGAAGTAATGGAAGTAATGGGATCTGAAGCCTGACCATTAGCTTGTAAAGCCAAAAAGGCCAAAGCAGTTAAAATCGTAAGTAAATTTAATTTCATGGCTTGAGAAATTGATTAAATGAGTGCCAAACTAATTCTAACGTTTCAGTGTTGGCTTGAATATATTTATATGGAAACTGTTTGTCGCAGATTTTGTTTTCATTAATATTAAGAAGTAATATCGAAATTTTTCAAATGTTTGCTTAGCTGTGTTTTTTTTTGTTTCATATCAGTATTGACTAAGTAGCTGAAAATAAGAACTACGTACTAAGTCTAAACAAATTTTTTTATTTATTTAAATAGAATTGCGTAAAATGATTATTAAGAACTTACGTTTTAAATAAAATATTATTCTTAAGTGACGAACTTCATCAATAAGTATAAAGAAATAAAATAAAAAACTGTAGAAATGTTAATAAAAGATTAATGTGCTTTACATGTGAAGTAGTTGAATATTGTGGTAGAAGAAAGCAAACACAGAGACTTCATTTGCCCCATTGAGTTATTTAATCTCTTTGAAAATCGCAAATAATAACAACAACAATTCAAAATAATAACAACCATAACGTATCCAAATGCATTATTCAATCCGTTTGGTACTCTGTTCTTACGCACCTCATATTATTAACATGTATTGCAAATAGAGTTGTGATATTCACTTTGAGAAAGAAATGCTCATCGATATGCATAAAGGGATAACACAAATAACTTCTGTTCGAATTCAATTCTGAAAATTCATAAAATTGGAGCAACAGCAGAAAATATCAATTTGAATGTGCAGATATAATTTTGTTTGTCAGTAATGTGGGTCTTTTGATAGATTTTCGTGTTAATCATTACTCTTGTTTATTATTCTCGTACCGGATAGACATCATGCTTATCTAATAATCCCCAACTCGTTTCTGTAAATGCAGGCCAATAAAAAAAAGTGCTATGTGCACCGACAATCTCTAAACGTGGCTGAAATGTTAAATCTGTGATGATTCTCATTGTGCTTATTTAGTATTCACCTGTGATGATCGATATTCTGAAGTCCATTTTCTTTAATTGCATTGTCAACAGTTTGCATGTTCACATAACCTGGTCAGTGAAGGCTTGTCTACAAAGAGTTTTTTGATTGGGCCACCTTTTTTTGTGAACAAATTTTGTAAAATCAATGACCCAGTCTAAGAGCTCTTACCAGAACAGCTTTCACTGACCAGGTTATCAGCCAATTCACTACACTACAGTGACTATCAAGTCATACAGGATATAATTTATCACATATTGTTATGCTATCATCTCGAGAGGGTAACAAGAGTTTTATGTTCACTCCTGACGTCTCCATTCTAAACACCTTCCCTGATGACTTTATTTAAGCCTACCGCTTCAAACCTCCCCAATACCTGTCCCATTACTTTGATGAATGGGACCGTAATCCCCACTTCATTCCCTTGTATAACTGTCGCTTTCGTGTTCCTAGTCTCCCAATCCTTTTACTATAACACTATAACTTCATCTCCTTAATTACGCCCATGCTTTCTGTCTGAGATAAACTAGGCCCGCTAGGTATTAAGCCTATCTGCTCTCATCTCTCTCTCCTGATTACTGGAGTGAAGTTTTCACATTGCTATTTATTTCTAAGAGGTGGTTTTTGTGAGTTCAAGTCTCATTCTGTGGTTTGCGATGCTTTCCACTTACGGTAAAAACAAAAAAAAAAAATTATCTAAAGAATATTATCTTCAACTAATAGCATATTTTCCTGACAGCTCTAATCTTCAACCTCGATTGTAATTGCTGTCAATTAATTTTGGGCCTACACATTCGTCGCCCAGGCTGTCAAATAACCGGATACCTGTAAAGAGGTGTCGCGATTTGTACTCATAATAATTATTTTTGACCCTATTCTTTCTTATAGATAATCGCTTAAATAGCTTAAATTCCATTAGACGATCTTCGCACTTTGGGAGTTGAGAAGTAATTCATTTCTAATTATAACTGATTTTAACACTTTAACAGTATAATCTCCATCAAAATAAATAAACTTAAGAATATCATTATCGTATTAAAAAAAAGAATAATTCCTTGTTAATGAAATACGATTTATACCAAAAATATAAGTAGATCTATAATTGCAAATGCTTCGGTTTATTGATTTTTAAGTTTTTAACAATTGAGATAAATCAGTTTCTGCGTCCACGGCCAATGCTTCTGCCACCACGTCTGCCTCGGTTATCTCTGCCGCGTCTACCGTCTCTACGTCCTCTACCACCTCGTCCACCTCTGCCACCACGTCCGCCTCTACCTCCGTGATGTCCGTGATGTCCTCGGTGACCTCTATCTCCTCCGCATGGTGCCGCAGTGCTTTCTGATTCAGTAGGCGCTTCGGTAACAACTACAGTGGTGGTTTCATCGACAGGTGCATCAGTCACAGCTACAGTTGTGTCTTCACTTGGAGCTGCAGTTGTTTCTTCTGATGAAACTGTCGTATCTTGTCCATATGAAGATACGGTCAGGAAAGCCAAAATGGCAAAAATAAGAAACAAATTGAATTTCATGACTCTATCGAAATTGCCTTTGAGATGACTACCAATCGATGTCTGATAGATTATTGCTTTTTCGGATCTATTTATATGAAGTTATCGGCTCTGTTATTGCATATATATAGGAAACTCGTTAATTCCCAAATTTTTAGATGTTTGCAAAGCTGTTCTGAAAACTACATTGTGGTCTTCGCTTACGCATTTAAAGAAAGTCTTCTGAAGATTTACTTAATACTCGATATAATCCATTCTGATATTTACTGAACAAATTGAGTGCTGGAATTTAACAAAGAACGTGAATATAATTTTTTTGTATTTATTTGTTAATAAAGTCTAATTATTTTTAGAATAAAAAGTAATTGCAAAATATATAAATATTTTCAGTATAAATACTTACTGAATATGATCATTTTTTGCTTCAGTTTTGCTTTGTTGTGGTTCTTTTTATTATTTATTATATGAAACCATTATTTGAGTTTATTTTAATGATAAATTATTTAGGATTTCTACATTTATTGTATAAGCAAATACTATAAACCATTTTATAAAAAAAAAAGTTTTATTTATTCAATAATGTAGACAATATTTCATATTAGAACCCAGAAGGAAAATAGACATAGTCGCACTAATAAGACAACAATACTAGGAACACTTAAGCAAATATTGAAGTTAATTGAGTAATTAAAAATTATACATAAGACACATTAAATTAAACATTCCGAATTTAGATTATTAACATCGATGAGGTAAATAGACAAAAAACAATAAATTCATCAAATAAAAACTTCCTTTTACGCTATCGAATTAAAGGTATTGGTTCCTTTGCATGTGACAAATCTGATATCCTATCGATATCAATATAGTATAGTTTCTCTTGATGACTTGGTTTTAAATAATTAAAAGTATTTCATAGCCATGGTCTGCTATGAATGTGATGATCATATGATTATTTACAGATTGTCTGATATGATATAATTTTTTTAATATATTTATGCTATAATCCTTTGTAGTTCTTATAGTTATGGTTTTACTTTTATGTACTCTTATAGGAATCGTAGTTTTAGGCGAACTTTACCTCAACTTGAAATCAGATATTCGGAAGTTTTCTCATTTTGCACCAGACTTTTTTTTCCAAAACGCTTACAGAAAACAATAACTTTTTTATATTGCCACAATTTTGTATCTAAAATTATAATATCTATATGTCAATCTATCTTATAAAAAGCATTCATTTCCACATTTACGCTTTATATTGTAACGAATGGTTTCCCGATATGATGACAATGTATTGCCATTTTCACCCTTCAAAATCGTTCAATTAACGGATTAATTTCAATTAAAGAAAAGTGTGGTGGAGTTAGTAGTGACTTAAAGTACCTGATGGGTTCAGCGCAACCAGATATGCTGATATGTATTACTTGTTTGTCATGGTATGAGATTTCCAAAATTTTAGAAAGATGCACTGCCAATTGCATTTTGAAAAGTGTCAGCATAACCGATTATTCTGATATCTTACAGACATTTTAAATCAGTAATAACCAATATTAATGAGTTTAGAAAATTTTGATTACAATACTCTGTGGGTTTTTCAAATATTCACATTAAACTCTTTACCGCCTTTATGTCCAAAATAAAGGATTCTTCCTCGCTTCTTGAAGAATACATCAAAAGCAATAAAATGACTAATGTGAATAAATTTATTGTTATTGTATAGCCTCTTTAAGATTTTATTGAGAGTTATATTCAATTTTCCTGTACACTGTGTATACACTATTATCTAGAAACTCTTCAGTTTACTATGAATTTTTATCAAGTAGATTAATCAAATATCACAGCTATAACTTTTATCAAAAAAAACCAGGAATTGATTTCCATTTCAGGCTTTAAAAGGCTTTTAAAGGATTTGGAGATAATTTCGTCTCTGCAAAATAAAAACTAATTTATAAATGAATAACAAAGTTATTTGTATTCTTTTGTAAAATCTTGAAACAGGATCACATAGCACAATACACTCTGGAAAGTTTTAATATATGTATCTTATGTGCAATAATGAAATTAATTTCAACATAAGAGAAACTATGCAATTAAACTATTTTAATTTATTCAAAAGTTTTCAGTTTTTTAAGTGTTCGATGATGTTTTCCAGAATGGAGAAGTTTCAAAATTCATCCGCGCCTCAAGTGACGAAAGTTGGTTTCGTTGTTATTTACTGACTGTTGTGGTCCTTGAATTTCACCGTACACAGCGGTGTTTTCCTATGAGTTTACGTTGGAAGTGATTTTGTTCACAGTTTACTTTAATTCCGTGACAACAACGTGGTAAAGTCACCACATCTCCTTCCGCATTCTATGGTTGTCTAAGCGAATATTGATGAGCGTTCATTTGCGGAGTTTGGAAATATTTTATTAAATATTTTGTTATCTCAAAAACTTTGAGAATCTCAATGTTCTCGTGTTTTGATTGAATTGCTTTTGCTAGTTTGATGCAATAACAATGCAATGGCATTGATGGCATCAAAGTTCAACAATTATTTGCACA